GTAATGACTTTGCCTCTGTCCCTCTATTCGTGAAGCACTTTGCTGCTCTTCATATCGTTTGATTACAGATTGGACTATTCGTTGGCTTTTTGGCTCCTTGTCAGAGTTTTTATGAGGCATATTTGCTTTCACTTTTCGTATCTTCAAACACCAAGTGTCCCACTGGGCGTGTCAAATTATTTCGTGTGGAAATCGCTAACAATTAAAAGATGGATCAGACGATTATGTAAGGAACGATAACCTCTCGAGACAAAGTCCTAACGAGATGTGTTTTATTGATGAAGATTACAATATGGATGAAACAAAATGCCTCCAAGGGGCACAAGCACACGAATTATGGAAGAAAATAATTGAAAGTTAACTAAGAAATGAAATCACATAGTTCTCTGTTTGAGAGTTGGTTTGATCTTTTTTCCCTTGTAGATTCTTCTCTCTTTTATACTCATATGATAGCTTCTCTTATAAAATCGTTTGAAAACTCCTGGAACTGCCCATCGTCCTGTAACTACCCACTTTCTCCATCGTGGATGACTTGTCATGAAACTACCGTTTTCAACCGCTGCCATTACCCTATCTCTTAACTTCTTGCAACCGAGATTCTTGAATCGTGGAATGTGATAAAATTACTCATTAACTGTTTTAATAACCATTGCTTCGAGCAGTAACCAAAACACTATATTCGCCCAAAATTTGAGCATTATACAGGCTTGAGTGATGACATGCTCGCTCAGATCTTAGGCATCTGGGCGTCTCATAGGTTTGGACAATGATGGGCCTCCATTACATAACTGTCTTGGGTTTGGGTCCATTCTTCGAATTTCCTAATTGGGCTTCATTCTTTGAACCATTTAATTGGGCCTCATTTTTGTATGTCAACAATACTAAATGGAAATGGAGCTGTTACGAATGTGACTCTCAAGCAACCTTCTACCGCGATTACATTCCATGGACGTTTCATATCTTATTACTTTCTGCAACTATTAACACTTCTAATACTTGGGCTAATGGGTTCGCAATATCTTTAGGCAGGCCACGAGGACAGGTTGTGGGTGGTCTTGTGATTGTGCCACTCGTCTCGGCTAGGTCAATTTTCATTAACAATTTCCGTTATGTTCCCAAAAGTTGGTGGTGGTGGAGGATGGAGGAGGAAAAAAGAGAAATATTTTTATTTATTTATTTATGATTTCTTAATAATTCATTTAGCACTCGCCTGTTTTTTGTTATTTATGATTTCTTAATAATTCACTTATCCTTTCTTTAAAGAGTACCGGCCTCAAAGTATGACCCAAAATGGTAGGCCGATTTCATGTTACCTTGTCTTGTGGAATTTTAGACAATTCCCCGAAACATTTTTTCTCAACTAAAAGAGCCTTTAAAGAATATTGACCAAAATATTAAGGGAGAATTATAGTCCCGGTATCAAGCATTTCATTTAACGACAGACTTGACCCAAATCTTTCATTTGTGCCGCACATGGTACCAAACTTTTTAGAAATTCTCAATTGAAGTCCAACTTGATGATTTCTGTTAGTTTACTCCCAAAAATAATTTTGATTAAGTTTACAAAGGGCAAAATAGTAAATTAGCTATTTTTCAAATAAAAAATTGAAAAAAATAAAAATAAAACCATCATCTTCTTCCCACCCCCGCCATTAAAACAAAAAAGTGATAAATTCCAAAAAATTCCAATTACGGGTATCAGTCGCCACCGCAAGCACCACCGCCTCAACGTCCAATTCCAACGCCGTCTCAAAACTAGGCACCACCATCGCCTCAAAACCAGTAGCTCCTTCAAGCATTTGGAGAGAAATTGAGTGTGTGTGTGTGTGTGTAAATTAGTTGACTTTTAGCCAACTGATAGAGGAATTAATGAAAACCATCCATTTGGATTCTAAGTGAGAATTTTTAAAAGGTTTTGTTACTATGGGTGACACACATGAAATGTTTGAATCAAATCTGATACTAAATAAAATGTTTGGCACCATGGTTGCTATTCTCCCAAATATTAATGGTGTAAGAAAAATGTGAATTACTTCATGTCTTGCCGTTTTACGTATGTAAATAGATTTGTATAGTTGATTGTTTTCATTTTCACAATGCTTTACGACGAAATATTACGAATTTTATGTCAAGGGATCAAAAAGTCTGACTATGATTTATTAGTAATTCAAGAAACCTAACTAGATAATGAACTATGTTTTATGTCAATATATACAAGCGAAAATTCAATAGTTTGAAAGCCCTAGTGAACAAACTAGGAACTTGTCACCCTAATTAGGGTGGAACACTCCCTTGAATATTTTCTAGCTAGTGGTTTGAGAGTATATTCATGTTCATTTGTCAAGATCAATATTGTACTACGCTACTCCCGTAATTACATATATTATGAATATAACTAGTACTTGTATAGTATTAAGTGTACGTAATCCTACAAAATCACTTACTTCTAAATTATAAGCTATTATGGTAATTAGATAACGAAAATGTATTTTATTTCGCGTTTGCTGCTATGGAAAGATGGCGAAATGGAAGCATGGCTTGTAATAGAAGTAGGAGAAATGATCAATAAGTACATGGGGGCACACACCTTAACCACTCGGCCAAAGCAACGTCTAAACTAACATTGGCAGCAAACTTAATAGGAATTTCGGTTTAAGTTTCAACAGTCAAAATTATTTGAAATCAAATCGAACCATTTAAACAAAAAGGAAAAAAAATGAAAATAAAACAAATTCTTGGAACAAATTGTCATTAGACCAATTTTAGAAGTATCTGTGGTTAATTGTACGAGTGAGAAATAATGGTCACACATAACAGTTGGCTTATTGCACAGCTACTGAACTCAAGAAGTAACATTTTCAGTCACCATAAGAAAGAATCAAAAGCGTTCTACAATCAATAGCAAAAGTTGGATTTGATTAAAGCATCATCAGGCGCCCAATAACCACGACATGCTAAGCATTGATACTCATGTAATGTAACTAAATCCGAAACTGAGAAAAATCATATTCCAAAACCAAAGACTGCCCGGATCTTGTGGAAAATAAGATCGCGCCATCCCCTTTCGGTATTTTCGACAACAGTAGCATTTCCATACCTGCATCAAGAATCAACATCAGAGCTCTTCTTTTACACAACCAAATAAAATATGTCACCAACCTGTCTTCCTCAGGAACATCAGTATGTGAGAGATGGACAATTGTCACCCCAGATTCATGCTCATCGAAAGTAAGCCGAACCTGCACGATCAAGCATCCACATTTCTTTAATAGATTCCAATTGAAACCTAGAAATACTATGCAGAAATGCATATTAAGGTAACCATAACCATATTTCACTGACAAATCAACATTTCCAGGGCCGGCCCTGGCCCAAGGCAAGCAAGGCCACTGCCTTGGGCCTCATATTTTTAAGGGCCTCTAAATTTAAAAAAAAGCCCGAAAGCTCCAATCCAAAACCCCTAAACTCTCTTTTAAAAGAGAAAATCTGCAGAGAAGTAGAACAATGAAACAAACCGTCCCTTTTCTCCAATCATCTTCTCATCTTTACCAAAAATTCTCTCTTTTCCATACGTGACAATTGACGATTCATATCTTTCATTAAACCCTCGTTGAAAATCTGAATTATCCATTATCTTCTGATTCTTTCCGTCAATCTCGTTTTGTGATTTCATTAGTCGAACTATTTGCAAGAACCTGCTATTAACATCTGAATTTGCTTTGGCTGCCTGAACGAGAGGACTAAGGATTGAGGGAGCACGACTTAATTTTCCACAAGAGAAGTTGAACACTTACAAGTGAGTTTTTGTTTCTTCAATTGTTTCTCTGAATATTCAAGAAAAATATAAATTCCTTTTTAATATTTTTCAATGTTATGAAGATACCAAATGGGTTATAATTACTAATTTAATAAGTGAAATCAATTACTAATTTAAAGGGAAATTGGGATTTGGGAAGTTTCTGAAATTTCTAGGATTCGGACTAAGAAATTCTTCTTATGGGTTTGAGGTTTTTTGTTACTGGGATTGATGTTGATGAAGAGAATGAGTCCAATGGGATGATTGAATTTTATGTGGGTGCTCTTTCGCAGAAACTACCGGACGAATTTGAGACTATTCCAACTTGCAAGGTTAAAGGGATTGAAGATTCTATCTCTTACCTAGAAGCATCAATTTGAGGTAAAAGTTGCAATCTTTATGTTTGAATTTGGTTTAAAAATTGAGTCTTTTAAGGTTTATAGTGTTTAATTGCGTCCATAGACAAAAAATAATAATTTGTTTGATGATTGGATTTGAATGAATTCTTGGATTGATAATGACAATAATGTTATCAGGTTGAATAATGTAATTTTCTGTTGATATTCCTGGTTAACTTGTCATGGTTTTGGAATTTGGATTGTGGATTGATTTGAGTATTATTGACTATTGTGTTTATATTTGTACTAAATAAAAAATGGCACTTAAATGAATATTATCACCAGTGAATTATGTAGACGCATGCTTAGGTACATGAATGAAGTACTATTGCTGAAAATATAAAAAGTTACACATTCTGGGCTGAGAAACTGATATCTACATGTATATTGTAGTAAAACATGATTGAAATGAACTNACTCTATCTTTTGAATTATATAAAGTCTTCTTTTTAATATATAAGTGTTAATTATTTAAATATTTAAATTTTATTTATTACAATTGTAAAAAAATGATTATTTTGATGGGCCTCGTAATAATTACTCGCCTAGCACCTCTAAATTCTCAGGGCTGGCCCTGAACTTTTCAGACAGCTAATCAATAATGCCAAGATAGTTGAGATAAACTCACAGACGTTAATATATGGATCCAGCTTTCCATAAGAAAACACGCATTTAACATTTATCACTGGCTGCTCATCCATTCAACTTAGTTTTCACAATTTCCCATACAAATTCCGAAATGCAATGTCAATTTTATAAATAGATTAGACTAGAAATTAACGATGGCAATCTTTTAGCAAATCACATACCGTGGACACCATGCCATCAGGCCAGCTCCCAAACCGCCATTTCTGAACAATCAACTTGCCTTCCTGCAGCTCGACATTGGTCCCCGTAACTGACCCGTCAAAAATACTGAATTCCCCTCCGACCTCCTTACTTATCCGCGCATTGCTCTGTGTAAACCCCTTCCACCTATTCTCATCCATCAATATCTCGTACAAATCCCTCGCTCGACAGCTAAACTTCTCACTCATTGTTATGGTCTTAAACCCTTCTTTCCGCTTTTCCTTTGTAGTACTCGTTCTGCTCGCAGAATTATTATCCACAGTTTTATTACTATTACTCACCGAGGGTTTCTTAGGGGCGACTTTCTTGACCTCCAAATCATCCTTTGCAGGCCCGCCTTTCGCCATTGTATCAACATACTGCCTAATTTTCTCGAACACAAACGGCTTACCCTTCTCGACAAATGCTTCTTTCAATCGTTTCCCAAACGGCCCATCGTCTTTAATCGAAATTTTAATCTCCGGATCCTCCCCAGCATTCTCGTCCGAAATATACGGCACTTCAACAGATCCCTCAGTACGTAATACAGAACTGCCATCAGAATCCTTTGCCTGGGCCTCATAAGAAAGAACCAAATGGAGCTCGTATCCAGGAATAATTTTACCCTTTCTGACATTGACATAGGCCTCACCCTCAAGTTTTGCAAGATCTTTGATACGGATATAGAAATTTCCCTCTCCATTAAGGATGGGTTCATTGCAGAGAAGGGTAGTTAGGTAATTTCTTGACCATTCAAGGCAGTCCGTCTCCGCCCAGTGCCAATTGTGGACATTGGCGCCGTCGGGACGGTCCTCCACGATCCACCGCTTGTCTCCCTCTCCCAATCGTGCCATTTTGTGCGATTCAGTTCTCTCTCTCTCTCTCTCTCTCTGTGTAGAGGTGACTTCAATGTATGATTTAGGCGAATTTAAGAGAGAGGAAATCTGGCGGGTTCGAAAAGGAGAAGGGTCTGGAGATAGGGAGTAGTAAATAATAGTCGGAAGATAAAAGAGGGTTAATATGGAAGGGTCTAGAAGGTGGGGAAACTTCTAAATAATTAATTATTTAATAATTTCTCATTATTAATCAACAACAATAAAGCTAAATGTACACATTTGGTTCACATTAAGTTTCACATCTTCTCACATCGCAGGCTGTGAGAAGATGTGAAACTTAATGTGAACCAAATGTGTACATCTAGCACGATTCAAATGAACAAATAAGCTTATATTTGTGGGGATATTAATTCAACATTGATCTCATCAGTACATTATCCCGCTCGACACATTGATTCACACGACAACTCTTGTGCGGATTGATAACATATTTCATCTTAAAGCTTATAAAATTCATTTCTTATTGTTCTAACTCGACCCTTAACCTTTAAAGCGCAAACATATTTTATTGATTGACAATACTCTTGCATTCTACCCTCCTCTCCTTACACCATCATCTCCTCGCCCTAATTTACAAGAATCAAGTTAGTTCAGGGCCGACCTAAAATTTTGCGTGCATGCTTTTTTATTTTATGTAATTAAAAAATATATTTCAATAATATTATATCATTGCAAAATTATGAAATTTAAATACTATTTATTTTTTTAAATATCGTGAATAAGTAAAATACGAATAAAGCTCAAAAGCACTTCCTAAACTTCATCAAAATTCATAAACCATTAGCGAAAATAAACATTAGTGCAGTATTGTCCACTCGGTGCTCTCTAGTGGTGGACCGGTGGTTTGAGAGCCGGCACTGACAATTGATTTAATACTACACATCAATATTGAACATTTTAGGTTTGTTCAAAAATGTCGTGATAATAATCTCATTATCAGTTGTATCTAAATGAAAATGGTAACTCTTGCACAGTTGAGCACTTTGCGAGAGCAAACAAACAATCTTTCCAGAATTTGAGGCCTAGGATGAATTGCTAGCTTTATCCAAGATATATCCTGTCTATAACACAATTAATAAGATTCTAATTTGTATTTTGCCTTTAGGACTGTCACGTACAGTCCTTGCGTGAGATTATAACTTGGTTTCCATTAATCAGACAATTTTAGCTATGCTAATTGGCCTATAAAACACATCATATGTCTCAAGCTAGTCCAAAAGAGTATTTTCATACCAAGCAAGCAATTTGGCCCGCTTTGAATCTTTGTATAGATTCAAATTCCTCGTACTCCTCCCTTCATTGGTTGAGTACTTGAGTTGGAGGTTGACTATCCTATCCGCCAGAGCAAAAGAACCATAGAAACGAAAAAGATAAAAGAAACAGGGCTATAGATCTATGCCAAGCAAAAGAGAGGACTCCAATGTCGGGGAAAAAAACTTGTATTCTTTTTCTTTATCTGTTTTCCCAGTAATCCAAAAGAAATAAATACCACCACACGGCCGACCACCCTTTTAGCAGGGAAAATTCGTATTTCTAGTGTATAAAATGCCTGGTCATATTGCACAGCGGACATTCACTAAATTATATTTCTTTTGAAGGCAAAAAAGGGGCGAAATTAAATAGATATCACCATAAGTTTCTCTATGAGACAAAGGTGGCATGATACAGAGGAGCTAAAATCTAAAGATCCACTAAGGATAGACCTAGAAAATGAACTTGAGAAGAATGATTCAACATTCTTACAATCACTTTTCTTTATGCTTGAATAGTTTCAGCAACTGTTTTTAAACTTCTTCAGGCCAGACCTGCAGAAAACAAAATAATATTCACACGTCATTTCTTTTACGGTAATTAGATGAGATACGTTAGGAAGAATTACCTAGACTTGAATTATTTCAGGAAGACTAACTTAACAAAGCCCAGTAGAGAATCTACGGCGACCACAGGTGTCACGGTTCTATGAAATTGGTAGCAAATTTTACTAAAAATACTAAAATGACTTAAATCAGTTTTTTCAATTGAACCAGTTAAAATATTCAAACCTAAATTAATAAGTATAGATAATTTAAGAAGGGTATGATGCATCTATTTTAACTTCCAGAAATAATTAAAATTTAAAAGCATTTCCCTTAATCAAGTCTATTAACCACCAAAATAAACTACCTTGCATAAACCAAAATGCTCACTCTTCTGATTCAAATGCTGGCTGGTGTGTTTTAACAATACAGTTTATGTAACCACTATCGTGTAGTCCACCATTCAACCTCTTCAGCACATTCATCTGGGAATGGGGATAGCCTAATACTAAAATATTCGAAAGTAGTTCTTGTGCAATGTGTAATGACACACAGAAAATTGCTTACCTAGTGTCATCGTCTATTTCTAGGTTTGCAGCAGAATTCAGCTAAGAGTGCTATATGATCTGATGACCACTCTGGAGAAGGAAGAGCTGTATCTTTTCGCAGGCTATCCTCATCCAAAAGCTCCAACAGCGACTCCACAGTTAAGGAGTCCGCTGAAAGCACAAATTAAACTTACTTAAAACACATAAAATAATTCCAACAATGCAAATTAGCTATTTATAAAATTACAAATAAAAAGCATTTAACATAATAACAAATATTGACTTGTTGCAAACAAACTGAAATAAATGTGACCAGCACAAAACATCAAACAGATACCTGAATAGAATATGTAATCATGAGTACTAATAAAATCTCTGGTGCAGTTCGTAAACAGGGGTTCATTTGTCCCAGGATCCATTTTCCTTCTCTGCTCTAGACCAAGACCAACTCCAACTCTTGCAAAGGATGAGTATGCACTTACCTTTTTGAGTAGAACGTCACAACCAGAAATGTTAAGCAACTACATGACTCGCATAATTTAGACAAATAAGTAGTTGGAAGCATCTAAGACTTAATAGGATAATACCAGTGGCAGCTGATGTGTCAGTTTGCTAACAGGCCGAAGAATTTGAAGTGGGTCTACTGCTAAATCTGGATGCATCTGATCAACTTTCCCCATGGCAAGGAGGGCATGAGGAGCACTGCATTTTAGTTCAAATGATTAGCATCCAGCAATTTGAGCGAAGGTGGATGCTTTACACATAGAAACTATACATGTATCAATAAGTGACCGTATACTTAAAGATGAAAGCCGACAAACCTTCCAGGAACTGAATTGAAATCTCCACACACCAACATTGGGATATCTGCACTTGCAGCAATCTTTTCCAATCCTTTCAAGAGTGTGTGAACCTAACATGCACAACGAAGATGATAGCAACTTTAGAAAGTGAAACTGAGTTGAACAGACTAAAGAGATAATGACATCAGCTAATAGACCTGCCAAAGCTTGACATCTTTCAAATCTTGATGCACATTAACATGCGTGTTTGCCTGCATTCAGAAAATCAAGAAAGATACTGATTGCCAAGAAGAACCATTCGAAGCTGTGGGTAGAGCAATGAAACTATATGAGGGGGATATAAAACAAGGTTTTACACTGTGATAATTACCAAGAACAAGTTATAAATCAATGTTAAGATAAATAATCTCTATACATTATTGGATTGCATTTATCAACTTCACAATGATGTTCTAAGAAGACTAACCCCCCACCCTGGAAAAAGTGTTAGCAATAACGAATTAACAAGCTAGGTTGACACGACTTCTAGTTACTCTTATGCTCCTTTTTCATGAAAATCAAAATGTTCAAATCCAGGTCTTGATTCCAGTAATCTCAGTGCAATTAAGAAAGTTGCACCTTGATGCTCAGAAAAGTATCAGGCAAAATCTTAAAGAGCGTCAAAATAGCATTAAATCCAATATTGTGTTATATGAACTTATCTCACACCTCAATTAAAATAGGTCTGCCTGCCCCTCTCCCTCACTCTTGTGGGCAATATTACCATGCAAAACTTCATTTTTATTTTTATTTTTTATTTGGGACGGGAGAATTACGTGAATTCACATGATACAGTATTAATTGTTAAGTTTTATTCCTGTAAAACAATGCTACATATTTAATTTACCAACATGTAAGAGGGATCGCAAGATATACAATAGGAAAGCCAATAAAATTACCCAATAAATAAAAATTATTGTATATACTAAGTTGACAAAAATGTCTCAGAAATACACCCCAAATAAAAAAAATTCTTTCAAGTGTTCTCCATTTCCACATGTCGATATAGGATGAAAAGGATAAGCTCACATTCATCTAATGTGATATCTTTGTTCTCTATATCAGCATCTCTGCCTAGAGAATATCCTTATCCTGGAATAACCTACTCAGCCGTTGATAAATTTAGGAAATTAAACTCACAATCGACCATTTCTATCATATATAGGATGTAGTGTAAATCTCTACCAAGCATTTCCACAGGGTAGAACCCCTTCAGGAATTATGTGGCTGATTTCCCCCTTTCGCAATCAGTTTTGCTATAGCAACCACTCGGATGAACCTTTCTTAAAGAGATAAACACACATTTATGGCCTGATCCAAAAGAGAATACAGTTCTTCTCACTTTTCGGCAATCTTTTTTCCTTCTCTTTAAGAAGGGGATGGGGAGAGCTCTTCTATTTTGCTTCATGGCTCTCTTGATTAATTGCTCTTTTTTTGTTCAAACTGAAACTTCCATCTGATGGGGAAGGATTTCCTAAATGAAGAAGCCCCAGAGTTATTTACTCTGCCTTCCAGAGTTCCTAGCCATGACAAGCGCTGATGTAGAGCCAGAAACCAACAGAAGTAGACTGAACAAAAGGTGACATAATACTTGCCTTCTTCCCGTTGAAAGATAAATGTTGAGAAGAACAATTAAAACGTATATATAGTCCAGCATCTCTTATTCTTAAATTTTCTTAAGAGTAGGGGGAATCGGGAATAGTCCCCAAGGTCTACTATTTGGAGTGCCATCTTACTGGAATGGTTATCGGTGCTAAAAAGTTAGAACCAGC